TCACATTTTTGCGCTCATTTTTCTTCTTTCAGCCTAATTGGGCAAACTTGTTGCTCTTTCTGCTTCCTTCTGCTAATTTAAGCTTTTTTATGCTTCTTTAGCTACTATTCAACTGTTTTAAGATAATTATTGAGCAGAAGGCATTCACACATGCATTTCCTCTAGTTGATGATTGTTGTAGCACATTTTGAACTGGTGTAATTAAATCCCATTTGCTTTAAGGAGTTAAAAGAGTTGGGGACATTTATTGAGCAAACAAGACCTTTTTGAGTTGGCTTTCTGAGTGAAGCCTTGGGATTTTTGTTGTGAATTGATGCCCTACAAATAAAATAATTGAACAAATTGAAGATAAAAACAATACCAACAGCTACTTTCTACCTACGTGTCCCTGCTGACAGGTTCATCCAGACTTAATGCAGCCGAGTATTTAATGTTGACAGAAGAGTTGGGAGATGAACGGACAAAAAGGGCTCTGTCCTCTTAACCAAAAGCCTAGCCACGTTTGGAATTATAAAGTACATTATGTCTTTTGTACTTGGTGGTGATTTTCAATGTTTGATCGGGCATGGAAAAGTATTTGGAAATTCAATTGCAACATCCTTAACTGTCGATTGTGTGGCAGTACTAACTTAACATTTAACGGCGTATTAAAATGTGTTAGTAGTTGAAATTCTAATTTGTGTTAACTTGATTTTCACAGCAGGGCTTTCTTTTGTTCTTTATTATTTCTGCATCCCATGAAATCTAATGAAAGGTCATGTATCTTCAAGTTACCGTGATGTAAAAGGTGCTGGTGTATCAGAGTGTCAGAGTCAGACTGAGAGTCAGTAATGAGTGCGCAGGCCGGTGGTTTGGTTTCGTAGTGGCGTGGGGTGCTCTCAGAGGTGCCGAGACGAGCTCTGATTCCCGGTATCTCGAACTTCAAACCTCCCCTGTGATACCACAGTAAAACAGCGGCGCTGTATTGTATCAGACCCCGAAACTAAGCTGAGTTAAGTCTCACCTGAGAAACTGTTTGACATTTTTATCAAACGTGTAGGTTCAGACCTATGGTTTTTTTTTTTCATGAGAATTATGCAGATTTTACGGGGTTATATTGCAGATATTAATCAAAAGGTTTGTGAAGTTGGTCGCATCATGTTGAGTTAATGGAAACGTGTACACAGGTATTTGTGTATCAAGTCAAATATAATGCGCAAAAACAAACCCTTAAGATCACAACTTTACTTAAAAACTGATTAAAGTCTTCACTTTAAACATTTATAATTAACAAAGATATGTCTCAAAGTTACAATAAAATAGATGTCCTTTAAAAATAAAGTGTTTTTATAAACTAAGTCAATACTACAATCAGGATTATCTTTTAGATAAAGTTACATTCAGTTTTTACAAAAGAAAACAACTCCTGTTCGAGAACGTTTTATTCTCATGGTGTTCCATACTTTTCCATCTTGTACAAAATCAATTTCTGTAGATTGATGTACAATATTCTTCACTTCTTTCTAGTTATTTATTTCTTTGCACCATTTTTTTTAGTTAATTTTACCATGCAACACTTTTGATCTATTTGTATATTCAACTTAAAACAGGTCTCTCTTGTAAATGAGTCCCCGAGGCTCAATGAGACTAACCTGTATAAATAAAGGTTGAATGAATGAAACTGCGGCAACAGCGTAAATTCCCCAACTGAGCGACATTGAAGCAATACTTTATTTTACGAGAAAAAATACTGGCATAGAAGAAAAAGGTTTACAGAAGCTGAATTTATGACGTTGGAAAAGAACGATCAGCAAAGATTTCTCGATCTACTAAAATGGATCTTGAGGCCATTTTAGTGTATATTCTTAGTAAATAAGTAGTTTTACTCAGTATATTTTACTCTCAAATGTTATATGATCTAAAAGCCAATCCGTCATTTAAATGTTATTTTGCAAAGTATTCGAATAAAAAACAAGGTTGAAATTATAATCTGTTATAGATAAATCTAACAGTGTTCCAAATGTATACTTACATATTAATGCATTGTATTATCATGACATGTATGTAGTGTTCAAGTGCTCTCTGCATACTTCATGTACTTTTACAATTGTTTCATGAAGTACCTTTTACTTGTTTCACATTTAAATATATTTTCAGTAAAAATGTTAACTTTTATTTAATTACTATTACCAGCCATCCATACGTAACCATCTGTACATTAAAAAAGAATAGTACCCTTTGCAACATATATATATATTAATATATATATATATAATGAAACATTTGAAAAGCAGATAAACACACGTTCCTAATAATAAATTAAAGTTATATAGTGGACTGGTGGCTCCTCTAAATAAATCATAAAAAATATTGTGTTCACACTTAACATTTTTAATTTATAATTTTTATTTTTAAAGTTGTTTATTGAAACATTTTACAATAAAAGTTACATAACAAATGTATTTCATAGTGATGAGTGAGGTATTTTATGTTTGTCACCAAATAATGTACTGGTCCGGTCTCTTTCCGGTTGTCTAATTTTTCTCCTGTTAATAAACGGTGGAGTTAAAGTGATTCATATATAATGTTTTAATTTCTAAATTATATATTTACTGAAACACTTTACAATATAAATTATATAGTGTATTTTATACTAATGAAATAATTATTTTCTGTTAATTGTCAATCCATATACTGAACAGATTACTCCAGGGTTGTCCGGTTTTACTCCGGTTAATAATGGTAGGCAAAATGATTTAAAGTCATTTTAATTTCTGAATTTTACATTATCAAATTGCTAAAAAAAAAAAAAATTAAATGTGTAAAACAATTGTATTTCCAACTAATAAATGAAAGTTACTGCTATTTAATGTCAAGCTGTTTACCGGGCTACTTCTTGTTCGGTTTTACACCAAAAATATAAAGTGATTCAGACCCGAGTCATAATTTCGAATTTTTATATTTTCAAAAGATTTATGGAAACGTTTTGAAATAAAATGTATGTAATGTGCATTTCCTGCTCGTGAAGAAAAGTTAATTTATGTTAATTGTCAAGTCATATGGTATGGTATCACAAAATGTAGTTTTGGTTAATCTACGGTAAAATTAGGAGAGACGGCCCTGCTGGAGATTAGGGTGGTTCAGACTAAAAAAGTTTCAGTTTGACTTTATTCTCATATTGATCAATGTAACATGTCAAAATAAAGCGTATAAAATAAATGTATTTCCAGCTAATAAAACAATGTGTATAATGAACTGGTTTTCCGGTTTTACTCCGGTTAATATACGGTACAGCCTAAAGTAGTATTGTCATCCCTCAATAGTAGATTTTAAAAGTAATAACCAATAATAAATGTTTATATTGAAATATATATATATTGTGAAAGTCAGCAGAAAGATACAAAAAATATTTTGAGTCTCTTTATTCTCCACATCTTCCAACATAAAACTCAGAAAAACTGAATCACAACCTTTGGTCTTCTCTTTTTATACTCTGTCCCTTTCACAATAAGAGCACACATTCTGATGTGAAATGTATTGGCCACCACACAATTCTCCGTTACGTTTTACCACCCTAGAGACGTCACAAAGTCATTTTATTGAAAGAACCATTCCTTTACAAGTAAAATATTTGTGTCCATGTGAGCAAAGTTATTTTATCCGTCCATTATCTTTACCCTGTGGCGGACACAAATGTCACCTTTTTGAGGTCACTGTACCCATCTCCATTTATCACTGGGCGAGAAGCGAGGGACAACCTGGACAGGTCGCAAGTCCATCACAGGGACAAAAAAACACTTAGTTTCACAAGTTTAAATCCTAAAAATGTACATTTTCCTCTGTGCTGCAGCCGCTTTGTGTCGTCCAGCTGCACCGATCGACTCGTTTTCCAACTTAAAGGTCAAAGTATGTCGCATCGTAAAATCGTCATAATCGCAAAATATAAAAAAGTGTTATATCCTGATGCATGCTCAATAATCCAGGTAGAAAAATCTAAAGTTAAACCTGGTCCTCTGGACATTCAAAAAACCGTTTTGTTGTTTTGCTTTGTTTTTTTGAATGTCCAGAGGACCAGATTTAACTTTTTTAGATAAAAGTGTTATTTTTAATCGTTTTCGAACTTCTGTTAATTGGTTACAGTGCAATTGATCAAGAAACATTTCTGCTCCGTGCTGCATCTACAACTTAATTTTCTGTCAGTCTGCGTGGATTGTTCATTTAAAATATATTAAATTGAGTTACACCGAAGGGGGGGAGACTGGGAGCAGGTGAGGAGCGACTGCAGCGGAGAAGTGGACTGGCAGGTGGCCGAGAGCAGAGATCATGACAGGCTTTGCTCTTTTAGAGCATTAGTTTAGAAATATTGCAAGAGTGTGGAGTTTATAAAGCCTTAACGCATGTAAAAATATACCACTTAATACTTGTACCATCCCTGTACTTTTAGTAACCAAACACCCGCGATAAACGAGGGACCACTGTGCCCAGAGAAAACCTACGCATGCAAGAACATGCAAACTCTACCCAGAAAGGCCCCCGGCTGGATTTGATCCGAGAGGCCAAAGATCTTCCAACTGATCCACCATGCCACCAAAGTTTATTTTATTTTAACGTAAAGAGTTGGAGAGCAAGAAACTCCAACGGCTCATTAATTTAGTTTCGTCAGTTCAGATTCAACTGGTCGTACTTTAGAACAGAGCTCAGTGAAACGCGCCAAAATCTCTAGTTGTTCACGTCTCTGCAAATATGTTTAATGTGGTCATAGCAAGTTATTTTTTAATCCTACATTTTAATAGTTAATAGAAAGTTAAGAGCCATCAAATTCAAAGTGATGCAAAACAGTCAGTGTAGAAAATGTGAAACTTGTAAATGTTTGGGCGAGAACTTCGGCACACTTCCTCTCGACATGTGTGACACAGTTTCACACCTGTATGAGCGAACTCCATCTGACATCTTCACCTTAGACACACAACGCATTCTTGTAACAACTTTGTCAAAGAAAAGAAAAATAATGCGTACACAAGTGAGTCCAGACCAGTTTATTCGTTTTCCACAAACTTGAGTCGTGCGCGTTCAAGGTAAAACTGTTTTCTAGCCAACTTTTCAGAGATCAAATGTCAATTGAAATAAAAATAAAATAAAAACCCGCGCTTTAACCTTTTTTTTTTTTTTTCCTTCTTCTTAAAAACCAAAACCAACAGAACTAAAAGGAATGCCCAAAAGAACACAAATGGAATGTTAAAATTGGGACAATGCCGAGTCAAAAATAAAATATCACATCATCTTCTGACAATTAAAAAAAAAAAAAAAACGTCTTTAAAACAACTTGCTGGTCAGTGTTTCGTAAATCTTATGACCCGGGTAAGGTTTTTAAAGAAATGTTCTGCATCCCGTGAACCTTATTCTTAAAAATTGACATCTAGAAATCTGACGCGTCCCAAACTTTCCTGTAGTTTGTCCCCATCTTTAGCCTGAAAAGGGGAACTGCAGGAGGACCGCCTTTTCAGGGCCCAGGGTGACTGCGTCCAGGCTGACTGACGCGTCTTCTTTCAAGTCTTTGTCCGTGGACAGCTTCACCTTCGCCGTCTCTGGCAACTTGGCTCCATCTACAGAAACAAGACCAGTCACGTTACAGAAAATAAATATAACGCACCCGTTGACGATCGTCAGGTACAACTTTAAGACTAGAGGTCAGAGCTGAACCGCTACTTGCCTGTAGGTGGTAGTGCAAGTTTTAGTTTTGAGGGTTTTGTTCCCCAGTTAACGACCGTTATGTATCTTTCGCTCTGGTCCCAAACACGAAGGAATGAAAGCGATGAGGCCGTGGAGTTGAGGGGGTAGTAGTCACCGTGAAGCAGGGAACGCTCTTTGCCTCGTAGGTCACTGAGGGATTTAAACCACGACCTTGTGGCAACTTTCTCTGTTCGGTTGCCCTGTTGGTGCAAAAAGTACTTTAATACACCCCGAGCATCACTACAGCTCTAATCCAGACTGAACACCTACCTCAGCAGCTTCATCAACAGCGTCCTTAGACGGTTCTTTATCCAGGTCCCAAATCATCTTGGGAGATTCTGCACCCTGAAAGGGAAACGATAAAAAGGTTACATCGAGCTGTAAAGTTGTCAACACGTATGAACATCTGGTTATTTTCAAAGCGTACATCTCCTGCCGGGAGGCCGATTTCGTCTCCGTAGGTGAACATGGGGGTTCCAGGCAACGTGAACAGCAGGAGCTGGTAGAGACGGACCAGGTCTGAAGACGTTGCCAGTTTAGACAGCTGCTCCAGTTTGCTGGCACCGAGACCCCAGCCCACGTTTCTCTGCTGGGCGTGAAGGACGTCCACGTCCCTGATGCGCTCCACAGCTGCACATCCACCAGTAAAACCAGTCAGCACGAGCAGATGAATATGGGTTTGACCCAATAAGACATCTTTAACCCACCATCATTCTTGCTGCTGAGAAGGTCGGGCAGGATCAGGTCTACTCCAGTGGCGTTGACCAGTTCAGACACCTGGACGGCTGAATCACCTTGGACCACGCCCATCAGCATCCTGAAATAAGGAGCGACGTCAGATCAGTCGGTTCACAGCAACTTTAGGTGATGGACTCACAAAATCTGCTCCAAGTCAGAGATGAACAAATACAAACCAGTATGTGCCTGAATTCTAACTGGTTACTGACTTCAGGAAGAGGTGAAACTTCACCACCAGGTGTCGCTTCATCAGGATGGTGCTAAAACCTCACTGGCCCGTTAGGTTTCTGGCTGACCTGCCTTTAAGAACCCGCACGCTGGCATGCTTTTGATCTCTGATGTCAGCTGAAGGTTTTACAGGGTTTTGGACTAAATTTACTTCCAAAGAACAAGCTGCTAAAATTTAGTCCCTTCACTTTAAAAATAAATGGACTGGATTTTCTACACTGATCTTTGTTTTTTACCGGAGGGACTCAGAACTGCAGCCGTGTTCACCTTTTCTTGGCGTCGTCGGTGCGGTTGCCCTGGACGGCGGCCCGGAGTTTCGGCCAGTCCGTAAAGTTGGAGGCAATGGAGAGGCCGGACACCTTGATGCCATCGACGCCCAGGTTCAGCCAGTACTCGGCTCCAGCCTGGAGAACAGGAGATCAACAGCAAGATTAGTTTAGCAACAAATTCAGTAAAGTAGACGCTAACATTGAAGCATTCACACCGTTGTGATCCATTTTTCAGCATCTTTATTGTTCTACAATGTGTGCCATTTCAACAAATATCAAAAAGTTCAGCTCTTGCAGGACAATCCTGAGGACGCTTGGTATTGGTGCAACTTTAGCTTTTTGAAATATTTAGCCTTTTCTGCCAGTTTTTACTCGAGGGAAATGAATAGAGCTCATTTTACATCCTTCAAATCTTCAGGCGAGTTTACGACCCTTTACTGCTCCCTTCTCATTTTATCAGCAAATTTAAACATTTCTTCAGCTAATTTCAGCTGTTTCGTGCTCATTCTGTTTTGTGCTCATTTTAGATTCTCCTAACTACACTACTTTTGCACTTCTTCCAACTTCTTTCTACAAGTTTCAGCTCGTTCTGCGCCTTTCAGCTCATTTCTGAAAGTTTCAGATATTTCAGCCGTTTTTATGCCAATTTAAACCTTCAGCCAATTTTTTTGTTCGTTTTTTTGCACTCATTTAAAACTTTTTTCAGTTTAATTCAGCAAAAATGTTCTTTCTCCACTTCCTTCTGGTAATTTAAGCTTCTTTCTCTGCCTTTTAGCTACTTTTCAGCTGTGGTTTTTTTTTTTGCCAATTGCAGCTTTTTTCCATTTTTGTGTTAATTTCGGCTTCTTTCAACCTAATTGGGCAAACCTTGGTTCTTTCTGCTTTCTTCTGCTCATTTAAGCTTGTTCTACCTTTTAAACTAGTTTTTTTTTTTTTTTAACATTTTTAGCTAATTTCAGCAGTTTTCTGCAAAATGCAAACGTTTCTTGGCAATTTCTGCTACGTTCAGCCTAATTAACTTCTTTATGCTTTTTTCATCTTCAGCTTTTATTTCAGCTACAATTTAGCTGTTTTATGCTAATTTTAGCCTTTTTGTTTTTTTAGCCAATTCCACTTTTATTTTTAGCTTATTTTAGCTCTTTCCACTTCCTTCTGGAAGGTTTTTTGCCAATTTCAGCTTTTTTAAGCCAATTTTCCTATTTTTTGTGCTCGTTTCTCCTTTTTAAACCCTAATTCAGCAAAAGTCAGTTCTTTCTGCTTTTTTCTGCTAATTTAGGCTCATTCTTTCACTTCAGATACATTTTAGCTTGTTTTTTTTTTCAGCAATAAGCTGCATTTTCACAGGAAATGCAATTCTTCTTGTTAAACACCGACACATTAACCAATAGTCACTCGTGTTCAACGCCCCACCTGCAGCGTCTCCATTATGTCGTCGTTACTCCCAGTGAACCACGGATCAGATCCCAGGTAGTTTGGAGTCAGGTCAAGCACCACAGAAATACCTGAAACAAACGAGATATCAGGATAAAATTCACTCTTCGGCTCATAAAACCGGAGCTTTAAGTCAAAGTGGAGCCGTGTTAAAGAACTCACCCTTCTTGTGGGCCTTCCCCAGCACAGAAAGAAAAGTTTCCTCCTTCCCATGCGTCGGGTCAATCTTTGTCAAATCCAGAGTCATCGGCTTGTCTGCCTGGACGGTGTGAAACGGACCAAGAACCAGACCTTTGACCTTCAGCTGATTCAGCTGATCCAACCTCTCCTCCAGGCCTGGAAACGGATTGAATGACACACCAGTATGAATTTCACAACTTGGAGCTGGTGTGTGAGAAGTCGGGCGAGGGTTGTTGGACAGACGGCGGAGAGCCGCAGAGACACCAAGTTTGTGGCCAAAGTGCAAAAATAACTTTAAAGGGCGATTATTATTTTTAGGCGCGCACCGACTGAAGACGGGGAGCATGAGAACGACCCCCCATCCACACCCTCTGCTGGCCATGTGAAGCCAGAGCACAAGAAGGTCCCGTTTCATGCAGAACAATCGGGTCACGTGCGGTTTTTGGAATCCTTCCCAAAGCCTGTTGGAAACCAGTGTTCCCCACTAATTCACCTCAAGCACAGAACATTCAGTCCAGTTCCTACACACCTAGAATCTGACGTCTAAAGAACCGACAGAAGACGCTTGAAAGAAACATCAGTGTTGCTCAATTTAACCTCAGATCTGATTAGCAGATATGAAAGCAGTGGCTTGTTCCTTCTCGTGTATCTTTGGCCTTTACTCAGCCAAGTCAGCACTTTTCGTATCTAGCCGGCTGATACAGGCCGTGCAGAACTTTGGCAACGGTCACAAGACTTCTCCCACATGAATCAGCAGGTCCTGAAACCTTTACACCCTCTGCAGTGTTATTCTGGGAACAGAGCTGACAGACCAAAATAAAAAAAAAAGAGGCACTTGTTCTGAAATCCAAACACAAGTTACCTTCCATTCCACCAGAGAAGGCCTCAAGGTCAGAGATCTGATACAGGGGTCCTTCGTTCCACCAGCTCATCTCCGGGATGGGTTTGCAGCGAGGGGCCTGGACGATAATCACAATAGCTCCAGCGAGCATACCGACCCAGCCCAGCCAGAACAGGACCAGCAGCACCCAGCGGGTTCGCACCCACCTAACAATAAATACAAGGTTGGGAAATATTTAGATCCTCACGCACAAGTTCACCTCGAGCGTTTGGAAAACGACTGAACCCGTACCCCGGAGTGCCCGCAACCTTCATGAGCTCCTCCTTGGAGAGGCCGGTGAACGTGACCTCGTCCTCGGGGACCTTCAGCTTCACGCTGCCGTTCTTTTCTCCGGCTGCCGGCTGGCCGTCTGCCATGAGCTGCTTCTCGAGGTCCACCTCGTTGAGCTTCACCTCCTCCAGGTCAATTTCTGTGTCCTTAGTCATCGTCTTACCTGTGGACAAAAGGGAAAAACTAGTAAACGCTCGTTTATTGTCTCCTGTACATTTTACAGAAAAGTACGTATTGTTTTTGCTTCATGTTACGGCATTCTGAAGTACAATACAAAAAACTACTAAACAAGGTGGTGCTCTTAAAAACCAGAATGAACCGCCTGAATTTCCCCAAAGGCAGTTTTGAGCCGGCTTAACGGCTGAGTGACGAAACAGAAATTGTGAAATAAACACATCACTTTACAAAAACAACTACAGCAGTTTATAATTATTCATGGTGTTGGTAAAATGTATTTAAAAAAAAAACGAGATCAAAATCTAGTTTCTGTTGAGCTCAACAGATTTTCTGATGAAACCGATTCAGAGGCTTGCATCTGGAGCGGAAGTACGCAGGAACCTTCACAATAAAAGCGCAGCAACACATTTAAAAAAAATATATATATGGTTTAAAAATAACTTATTCGTCGAGGATGAATCTTTGTAAGATTATAGCAAGGTTCGGGACATCAACGTTTAATTATAACCAATTGACAGTTTTATTTAAAATAAATTGAACCGGAAGTTCAAAGCGCCGGCCGGCGTTTTGACAGGTTCGTTCTGTTCCGCTTAAATTTAATCCACATTTAACTGAATTACCGAGACTGAGACGTTTATTCACGTTTCACTACTGCGAATTAAAGCGATAATAGTTATATGACCCGAGCGAAACCCCCAGAAAAGCAGTTTATCACCGAGTCGTTCATCTTTTGTTAAAGATGATGAAATGCGACGCGAACCTACGTCATCTGCGGATGATGCGCGTGTTAAGGAGATCCCTCGATTGTATTACTGATTAATTCTGGCAGCTAATCTAAGACATGAGGAAAATAAACTGTTACCTGTTGAAAGCGATATGAAGTCCGTCCGGGTTTATTGTAGTGGTGTGAATCCTTTCTGGTCTGAACCCTGCGCGTGGCGCTCAGAGAGTATTTGTAGCCACGCTTAAGCCCCGCCCCGGAACAGAGCCAACCAATCACATCCGTCCTGTTTAATGTCTTCCTAGAAAACACAAACAAACAGCAAGAGCTTTTCTTCTGGATTAAATCATAAAACTTCTCTTTCAGGTACGTTCACACGTTTAACTCCAGGAGGAAATGTCTGCTGGAGTTCTGGCTGTTCTAAATCCTGACACTGATATCAGTTTTTTTTTTTTTTCTTCACGTTTTGTTGTTCAGAACAAAATGTTCATTTCAAGCATTCACTGTATCTGAATAGTAAGAATTATAGATTTGTGTCTATATTTTCTACCTAACTGAGGAACTGAGAAATCAGTTGGATTAGGCAAACAGGACAGAGTGATCGATGATTAATTCATTGATTATTTAGGTGAACAAAACGACCTTTAAACCTTTGATTGGCTGAGATTGTTTCTCTGTTTCTTGTTGATTTAATTTGATCTCGCCCACTTTTCCTTCATCTTCCATGTTTTTAATCACAAAGACTTAATTGACTTCCTCTGAATAACAAACAATCTATGACATGATTTTCTTCTTCTTCTTCTTCTTCTTCTTTCGGCTGCTCCCTTCTTCAGGGGTCGCCACAGCAAACTAAGTCACACGAAGACGGTAATTATTTTTACGCTGGATGCCCTTATTGACGCAACCACAGACCACCGAGCCACCACAGCCCTCTGTGTGGAGCAGAGCTGCCACCTGGGGCAGCAGGTGGTGGGGATTAAGGGCCTTGCTCAAGGGTCCAGAGTGGGGCAAATGATGGTGGAGGCAGGCGTGGGTGCTTCACCTATCTCACCGACACTTTAGCTGTGTCAGTACCGGGAGTTGAACCAGCGATATTCCAATCACAGGCCCTAACCTCTGCACCACCACTCCCAGTCTAGGACATGATTATGATCACTAAATGTGTATATATATATATATATATATATATATATATATATATATATATATATATATATTTATATATATATATATTATCTTTACCCGCTTCTTCCATTTTGGGTCACGGGGGTCGCCGGTGCCCATGTCCAGCAATCATTGTGTGAGGGGCGGGGGACACCCTGGACAGGTCTCCAGTCCATCACAGGGACACATAGAGACAAACAACCATTCACTCTCACCTAGGGACAAGTTAGAGTTGCCAATCAGACTAACATGCATGTTTTTGGTCTGTGGGAGGAAACTGGAAAAAACTCACGCATGCACGGAGAGAACATGCAAACTCCACCCAGAAAGGCTCCAGGTCAGGATTTGAATCAGGAACCTGCTCGCTGAGAGGCAGCAGCTCTACCAGTTGAGCCACCGTGCTGCCAAAAATAAATAAAAAAATAATAAAATAAAAAAATAAAATGAAAATATATATATAGTACAATTGTAA